CGAGCTAGTGGCAGGGGAGAGGACCCAATAACACAGATACTCACACGCGGCGCAGGGGTGGCTGCGCCTGGGAAGTGCCCGGCTCTCCCACGCTGGCTGACCCCTTCCCCAGCCGCCCCGGCATCGCTTGCGGGGCACCTTCACTCCTCCTTTCGGCAGCCTTTCCCTTGCTGCGCTTGAGACCTGCACCCTTGCCTTACAGGCAGCAATTTCAGCAAGGTATGAGTGGGGCAGCTGGGACAGGGAACGATCCTGAGGCATCAGCAAAGCTGCCTGATAAATCAGCGTTGATTCACGGCCTTCTGGTGGGCTGGAACACCACCCGAGCCAGGGGAACATCATTTTTCAATGACAGTTGCTCAGGGGTGGCTTCAGATCAGAGAATGTTACGTTCTGGCAGCTGAGATGTGTGAAACCAGATGTGGCTTTGGGAGCAAAACCAAGCCCAGGATACAGTGGCTTAGTCTGGATCTTGTTGGGGCTGAAACCCCAGGGTTCAAGGACTTTGTTGTTCTGCTTATTCCAAACTCACGGTGTTTGCCAACCCGATCTTCCGGAATCCAGGTCGCTGTTGCTGATGTTTATCACTTATATAGTACGGTGACTTCTTGATGTGTTGGCTAAAATCCATGCTCCCTGGAGCCGTGACTGCGCATCGGCAGCTCAGTCCTGAAGAGCTTAGGTTACAAATGGAAAGTACAAATGACAAGCGTGGTGGAAATTGCAAGCTAGAGCAAGCCTACCGCTATCTTGTTGGCTTTCAACCCGGCTGGTTTTGCAAAGCCAACATGATCTTCCCCAGGGAAGATGGGAGGGTGGCTTCAAGGGTTTGAACTGGTATCCTGAGTCCAGCTCAGTGATTTAACCCCAGAGCCCTCTTAGTTCTCTTCTGGACAGTGGAGTTTGTATTTTTGCTTTTACTGAGCCCATAATCATTACAGGAACGGTACTTTAAGCAAAGATCTCAGTGACTGAGCAGGACCTGCACTTCTTTGTGGCTTCTCCTCTTTTACTGGTTGGTAGTTGGGTAGACTGCGCTTGTAGGAGCTGAACCCCGATTCGTGTGTTGGCGGTCCCTAGAGACTTCCCAAAGGTCAGAGTGCTATTTCATTCCCTCTGTTTCTGTAGAGGTTTCTCTCGCAGGCGTTTTCCTGATGCCGTTTATAATTTCTTTAATATGTTTTTCCTGTGCAGATGTTGCTGGAAAAGAAAAACAAACCAAACATCGTGGAGATTATGGCCTTGCCCTGGCACAGAGTCCAGGGAGTGGAAATTCAAACTCAGTCTATATATTTTTCCTATTTCTCTGCTTCTCCGTTTCCCTTGGAGAAGTAGTTTTGACCCTTTTCCTCCTCTGTGAAGAGGAACATTTGGGTCCTTCCGGCACAGCTGTACTGGAAACCCCATGTCTTTGGAGACCAGCTTGTGTACAGTCTTTCCAGTCCTCAGTTGTTTGTCTGAGTATCTGGATGCAGCGCCCATCGGGGCAGCATTTGGGGCTCTGAGGCAGCCCAGAAATCGTGAGCAATGCCGCCCACATCAAGCGGGCGAATGAGCGTTATTGCTGCTGTGTCTCTCGGGAATTCATCTGTCACAGGTTAACGCTGCTCTTCTCCGCAGATGTTCCAGTGGCTTTGACCGATACCGTGAGGAGTGGCTGTCCTACGGCTGTGGCCAGGAGGTGAGACCAAGAGTCACTTCGCTTAGGTCCTCTGTGAGGAATGATGCTGAACTACCGAAAGAACTGTGGGCATCTCCCGGCTCAGAAAATTCACTCTCGGCCCCACTTTGGCCCATGCTGTTCTGGAACAGGCTGAATATCCCCTTAGACAGCCCCTTCCCGTTGCAGCAGGACCGCTGGTCCACTTACCGCCGGGTGTCCCTACTGGGACAGTTAAAAGGTGGTCCATCTCATCCAGCGTTGCCTGTCCTTGCTTTGCTGGTGTCTTGTTTCTGTGCTGGTTGGTGCTGGCATTCGGTAACGATGCAGAGACCTCCGTAAATTACCAGATGATGCAATCTGAGCACGCTGGGTTATTTTTTTCTTCACCTTCTGAAGCATGACTCTTACTCACTCTCAAGCATGAAGAAATTAGCCCTTGTGATTTTTTTTTTTTTGTCCTTGTTAGCACAATTGTCTCCACATTGGATGAACTAGTTTCTTTGTCTCAGAAAGATCAGCTCTAATGAAACATCTGTTTCTGCTTTGGGTTTTTATTTTGTTGTTTTTTTTTTTTCCCTCACTGAAAACTCAGCTTTGTTCCCTGTTAACCAAAAGGGCTGAGTGAGGGAAAAGGAGGTCACAGGACCTATGCAAGGTCATCCAGTGATGCCGGAAGGTCAGACTGTAGGACCTTGACAGATCATTGTCATTTGTCCTACTTGAGTGGTTCTCAGACTTTCCCTCCTCTTCTCCAACCTCCAGGTCACCACCACCCCCCTCCCTACTTCTTCTGGCTCTTCTGGACCATGTCCCCTGCTTCCACTCCAGTGCTTGAGCCCCAAGGGCTTGGCAGTCCGAAGCCTGGGAAGCGCAGTCCTCACCCCTGGCTCCCTGGCACTCTTGCTGGAGGAGGGCTAGGAGAAGTAGCTGTTCTTCATTTTCTTTCCAGTCAGATGAGAAGACTTGTGAGGATTTAGCAGAAGGCGACCGCTATTCGGCGTCTCCTGGCAGCTCTTTCTCGCCGCTGGATGAGGACGTCACCACCTCCACGTCCTCGCTCTTCATCGACAGCCTCACTACAGAAGGTAGGGACGAGCAGCTGGGGCAGGGACAGCCCCTACTCGACGCTTATCCCTGGAGAGGTCTTTCGCTCCAATGCCTCGTAAAGCCAATTCCTATACAAACAAATACAATAACCAACCCAGCGTTGAAGCAGAAGGGCAGGGGTGCGTACAGGAGGCAGTGGAAAGGAGAAGGAAGGGCAGCCTGAGCGGTGGGACTCGGAGTGATGATGTGAGGGGAGAGCTGACCCTCCAGTGTGAGGAGTTCTGCAGGAGCATCGCAGCCTTTTTACCCATTTGTGAAGGTCAACAAGCAACTGGTCCCTGTGGGACAGACTCCTGGCATCATAACAGAGGTTAATACTGTACGTAGGGGCTCATGCTTGTACCGTGCTTGGTGCTAGCTGGTGGCTCAGGGCTGCTGGTGCTCTCAGGCTGGCAGGAAGACAGCACAGGCTTGCGATTGCCCTCTGCTTGGGAATAGCGTTCATTCCAGCATAGGAAAGCTCCACATAAGGACCTGAGTTTCCCTCGAGACACCCATGTTCTAAAGCTTGATAATCTCATTAACACAGGGCCAGCTCCTCAGATCCTAGCGGCAGGTATCACTTCAATTTTGCTGCTTAATAGTCCCTAACGCAAACTGCTAATTAGAATAAATAGAAAGGAACATTAGTAATTGTCCTTCAGCAATGGGAAGGAGCTGGGGGGAGGAACGGAGCGCCTGGCTGACAGAGTTGACTTTGAAAGGAGCAATTAAAGGAAGGGGGAGTGTAACACCACCACTGAGATTATTTTCCAACTCATCGCCAGTTCTTGGAAAAAGAACAAGAGGCTTTCTGTGACATAGTCAAGCATGAAGTTAGTTTGTAATCTTGGAAGGAAACAAACAGCCAGCTGCATCAGGCAGTGAACTTCATCTGGAGGAGCACAGCAAAGGAAAAAGCAAAGCAAAGGAGGGGACCCACCCCTCTGCGTCCTCCCCAGCCAGCCCAGCTTGCTGGATCTGCTCGTGGAGATGTCTGTGAACGTGTCTGACTAGCCGGTCGTGTGTCAGCGCTGCGGCGAGGAAACGTGTAAGCCAAGCAGAGAGAATTCTGGATCAGGGTTTCAGCTGGACTCGCGAAGGTGGTGGGAGTCCAGATGAAAAGACCCATACGATACAGCCTGGTACTTCCAGAATGAGATGAAGAATGGAACTGGATTTTGGGCCCCCAAGGAAGACATCTACAGCATATCCCATCGATTTATTCGGGATGTGTTAGTGGCGTATCACTGCAAATGCCATCGTCTGAACACAGACACCCATAAGGGCTGGGGCCCCATCCAGCATTCATTTATTATCTTGCCTTGCACACTGAGCATGTTTAATGACCTCAGATGTTTGTGCTCCAGGTGGCACCTTTGTGAAGGCAGACAGTAAACCACAAGCCACATGCTTCCACCCTTGTTCTTTTCTAGGTGCCTTCCTCTTCCTCCAAACTCAGAGCTTTAGAGCTGTCACCGGCCACGTAAACGCTGTGCAAAGAGATGTGTTGGGTCAGCGGCCCCGTTACAGAGGGGTGAAAGTGGGTGGGAAACATGCAGACTATCAGAGAAGGCTCCTAACTTTATTGTTTTTGCCTTTGTTTCTTCTTTTAGATGATACGAAGCTCAATCAGTATGCAGGAAGCGAAGGTAAGCCCTTAATCTTCCCTTCGCCTGCTCGCAGGCGTTCCGAGTGAAAACATGTTCCGCTGAAATGAAATGCACCGGAGAGCTGCGCTCAGTTAGCGGAGTGGACAGGGGAAACTGAGACGGGAGGGATGGCGTCACGGCGAGACTCCTGTTGTCCTTACCCTGATTAATGCCCTTGCAGGTAGTGAAAAGTGAGAGTCGGGACCAAGCTGTTTCACCCTGCTGCTGTTTGTCTGCTTTTCCCACTTAGTCCTGCTGTGCAAAGAAAGATGATGGTTTTTTCTCTTCCCGTGTAATTCCCTTTCTTTGCGGTTTTTGCATAGACACACGGTCCTTTTTCCCTTTGAATTTCCCCAACTGTGCCAAAGAGCAGTGTTAAATCCAAATTTAGGAGGTATCCTTATCCCAGCTCTGCCTTCTTCATCTCTGTTCCCGTGAACCCTTTCTCAGTCCGAGTTTGTTTGGCAGCCCCAAGGGCAGGGTAACGCTCTTACTGATTCCAGAGTATGGGAAGGAGCTGAGCCCTCTTCACCTGACGTCAGATTTGCAAGAACCGCGGTCGTATGCAAACCATGAGCCTATCCCTCTTACCTGAAAGCAGCTCAGGGAAGTTAAACTGGCTAAACTGGGTGCAGGATCAGTTCCTCTGCAGGCATGGGGCCTTTGAAATGCACAATCCTCCCAGTTTCAGCCCAATTGCTCCCCAAATGGCTGGCAGTGTCACAGTGAATATATGCCGCGTACACCCTCCGTAGCTCTGTGCGATTGCATATTCATAGCCGAGGACCAAGGGCAAGCCGGAGGGCTGTGGGTGAGGCAGGCTGAGGACCCCGCTTAGCATATGGCTAGTGGCTTTCTGCAGGCGCCAGCAGCCCATCGATAACGAATATGGATTGGAGGGGGGGGTTACTGCGTGGTGGTGGTTTAATCTTCTCTCAAACCAGCTACTGCTATCATCTGAGAGAGACGCTGGAGCTCACGCAGCAGCTCTCTGGTGCATCTTCCCTTGTTCAGCCTGAAGAAGATAAGACACAGAGAGGACCTAATATGTGCTTACAAATATCTCAAGGGTGGGTGTCAGGAGGACGGGGCCAGACTCTGTTCAGTGGTGCCCAGCGACAGGACAACGGGCAACGGGCACAAACTGAAGCAGAGGAAGCTCCAGCTGAACAGCTGCTTGGGCAGGGGGTTGGGCTGGGTGACCCACAGAGGTCTCTGCCAACCCCTACCATTCTGTGATTCTGTGATCCCCCTCGTGTTGAGCCCGCCAGTAGCAGGCTAAGCCGCTCGGTCGAACGTGCGGAGCTCTGAAAGGTCTTGCTTTGCTTTGCTCTTCTGTCCTTTCTTTCGCTGAGGTCTCAGCGCGGTTCGTGACTCAGCTGAACCCTTTGTTGCAGGTGTGGGAAGCAGGCTTCCTTCCAAGAAAGCGGGTGCCCCGATTCACACTGGCACTATCGTGGGGATCGTTCTGGCTGTGGTGCTCATTGCAGCTATAATCCTTGCTGGAATTTACGTTAACAGCCACCCCACCTCCAACGCTGCCCTCTTCTTCATTGAGGTGAGTGGAGACCCTTGGTGCTGGGCAGTTCTATCTTTTTTATCTCTGCTACCAACACAAATCCTAACCTTCTAGAGAAGAACAGGGAGCAAAGAGAAGAGCAGCTTCGACAGAGTTCGTAGCTGAGTTTCTTTTCACGGTCCTACAGTCACAGCTAATCTCCCAACCTCCAGTAGGTGACGGTTTAAACTTGGGCTCTCTCCCTCCCACACTGTTTTATTTTGCTCCCTTTCACGCGCTCCCTTTCACAAGTTGCCTTTTCGTTCCCCCGTGCGACGTTAGGCTCTTCTACCTGCTTGCACGAGCAGTCGACATGCAGCCTGGTCGGAGGGCTCAGCTGGAGCCATGACATAATTGAGATTGCTGCTTTTTTGAATTGCCCAGCTGGATTTTGTTGACTGAAATTGTCAGACTTCATTGATGGATGTCATGCCATCAGCTACTGTGGAAGTGGTGGCGTGAATGCTCTAAATGGAAGATTTTAATTCTCGGGAAGACAGGGGGTCCAACAATCTCCATCTGCTGTTAAAAGCCAGAAGACCGCTTGGTGTAGGATCCCGAGGCAGTCAGAAGTGGGCTGAATCCCGGCACAGGATCTGCTGCGGAGGGAGCGAGCAACAATTAGCCCTCAGCCTTTCCTTAGTGCTCGCTGGCTTTTTCCGAGAGCGCTTCTCTTTCCTCCATCTGTCCTGTTTGCAGAGACAGGCTTCGGAGAACTGGTCGTGGCCTCGACTGGTTTAGTACCCAAGCACCTGGCAACGTCTGATGCATTTATCCACACCCAGCTGCCAAGGGGCAATGCACTTGTCCCCGTTGTGCAGATGAGAGGAGACGCAGAGCTGGCATATGTGGGCGCACGGGAAGCCCGTGGCCGTCCTCGGCTGCACAGACCACCCTTGTTCTGAGGTCGATGTGAGATTTCACTTAGACTTTCCATTTCCTCCCCGTTCCCCATTTTAACCTTATTAGTGGGTCAGCTCGGTGAGATCGATGCATTGTAATGAACTCTTCTAGGCATGCAGCGATTCTTAAAAATTTATTTTTATTAATAAAAAGTCAAACTTTCACAAAGACAGCGTTGCTTTTGTTTCAGGACAGAGTTTCCAATTTCCCTGCAGGCTTGGCAGGAGAGGCTCTGTCGTAGCTTCTGACGGGTCTTTGTTTCTGTCCACAGCGAAGGCCACATCACTGGCCTGCCATGAAATTCCGAAATCACACCAACCACGCGACGTACTCAGAGGTGGAGCCAGCCAGCCAGGAGAAGGAGGGCTTTGTCGAAGCAGAACAGTGCTGAGCGCTTCTCCCCCTGTGCCGCCAGCCTCCCATGTCTCAAGTGTTGGAGTCTTCTGTTATTCTATTGCAAAGTCTTTCCCCTCTTGGAAAAGAAACAGCAAGTGGAGGCGAACGACCCAATGGAGGATCTGAAAGGAAGGAGCCAGGGTGATGTGAGGGTGGGACTCGCCCGGGTTCCTCTCGGGCAGCAGAGCCTGCAGCGGCGGCAGTCGGTTGCAACACTGGACTCTGCCTGCAGCCCGGCACAGAAGCCCTGGATGTGGCGGTAGAAAAAAGTGCAGTCAAAGTTTTAGTTTTACGTGGGGTTTTTTTGGTTTGTGGTTGGGTTTCACCCCTCTGTGTGTGGCTGACCTCTTCCCTGCTCCACCGGGAGTCTTAACAGGGCCAGCAAAGGGGGGCAAACCTCCACAGAGGCAAAACACACAATTGCCTCAAGCAGCAGGCTCTTGGGGGCAGCAAAATGGTTGATTTCTGCTGCACCTGGCTCTGCCTGCACTCAGGAAGGCTGGGCTGGTTGGCTCTTCGCCTCTCCAGGGAAAGCCTGGGTGGCCGGGGGTAGGTGCTAGTGGTGGCCCCGGAGAGGTCAGGCTGGCTCTCCAGGGCTCACCTCCCTCTCCCATCCCCTCTCCCCCAGCTCTGTGCTTTTCTCTGCTCTCCCCTTTGCCTTCTTTTGGGGCAGGTGACGTTTAATTTTTGTCTTCATGGCTGAGAAGCCTCGAGCCCTTGTCTTTTCATCCTGCAGTTGGTCTGCCACCACCATGGCTTCAACTCCCTGCCCTCCTCTCCTTTCAAAGCAGCAGCTTCTGCCCCCTGCTCCGGAGAAGGGGAAACCTGATCTATTTTAAGGGCAAAACCCTGCGGAGGATTCACCTCCAGGATGTTTGTGAGCACTTTCTGGCATCTAATTAGTTTGCTAAATTACTGACTATGACCCTTACCCCAAAGGAGCCAGAGCATGGAAGAAAAAAAAATCTTAGATTCCTTCAAAATACGTCCTTGTGGCGTGGCCACTAATCCCGCAGGAACAGAGTAGGTTGTGACTGAAGAGGAAGGGGACAGAGCAGGAGCAAAAGCAGTGTTCTCCACTGGGCTAAATCCGGATGTAAATCCGAATCCATTCATGGGCATTTCACATAGATAAGGAGTGAAGGCATACGTGCCTTGATGCCATTGAAAATCTAAGAATCACCTGGTTAGCATCATCATTTTTCGAGCCTACTCAAGTCAGTGGAACTTTTTCCATTTCTTAATTTTATTATGTCTGTGATAGGCCCCTGGTCTGGATTTGTGCAGATATCACAATTCTGGAATCTGTCCCTAGCTAAGGGCTCGGCACTAGACCTCTCAGGGCTTTCTACTCCTTCTCTGCAATCAGAACTCAAGACTAATCTGCAGAAACGCTCTACCCTACTTCCACAGACACCAGCTCTAGGATTGGGCCCTAAACCGAGGACAGCTTGTATAAAAAACCAGAGTCCAAAGTCCAGTGTAAGGGAAAGTTTTCCTTCCTCCACCAAAAGGTGTTGGTTGTATGGGGCTTTTTTCCTTTTTTTTTTTTTTTTTAATTTTCTCTTGAT